AAAAAAGGGAGGGAAATATCATTAGTAGGGAATTTTTATAATTTTAGAAACAATGCATTTAGCTTTTTTAAAACTTAAAAAGAAAAAAGATAATAAAAAAAGTGCCTTTCTGTAGCGTTTTGTATAGAAAAAGCTACAAAAGGTTTTCCATAATTTTTTTTAAAAATCCTTTATCTTTTTTCCTTTTTTTTAAAACTCGATAGCCTTTTGTAGTGCTTTCTGTAGAAACGCTACAGTATTTTTTTTTTATAAAGAAAATAGTCTTCTGTAACGCTTTCTAAAGAAAATGCTATAGCAAATCCTGTATTTCCTGTAGCGCTTTCCGAAGAAAACACTATAGAAGATTTTTATAATTTTTTTTTAAAAGTAAATGGACTGCTGTAGCACTTTCTTGAGAGCTACAGCAAGTATCATACATGCTGTAACACTTATTTAAATAAGTGCTACAGAATATGTCTTTTTTTTTAATAAATTATTGAGTACTAGCTGTAGCATTTTCGTTTTAAATGCTACAAAACAGGCGCTACAAATCAAGTATTTTGTAGTAGTGTTTAAAAAAATAGATAAATATGATAAGCAAAATAGATTGAGATTTTATATTTAAAACAAAATTAAATATCAAAATAGTTCTTATATTAAATATCAAAAGTAGCATGTTGTTAAAAAAAACTAGTTGTGAAAAAATGTCATGGGATTTCATGTTTAAAATCTTTAAGGTAAAATAATATTTTTTTTTGTTGGCAAAAAAAATAATCATTTTTCTAAAAACATATTTAATCTTATATTTTATAAATACATATACACATATTAATTATTTATTAATTACATTTTTAATATATTATTTATTATGTTGGCAAAAAATATATTATTAACAAATTTATTACTTCAAATAAAAATATATTATAAAATCTCTATTTTATATAATTATCATATTAACTTATGTTCTTTTTAGTAATTTGTACATGTAAAAAGTTTTTCTGAGAACAACTATTCAAATACTCTTACTTTATCAGAATCATTTTTTCATAAAATTTATTCTTGGAAAATCTATTATCAAAAATAATTTTTTTTCAAAAGCTATTATCAAAATCATAGTTTGATTTTATCCAAATATCCCTTGAGTAGAAAACACTTCTTCTCATCTCAGTACTCTTTGTTGTATAACAAAACTCTGACTCCTTTCTGTGGTCAGATCACGTATGAGCTTATTTACGGTTCCTGATACACACCAAATACCCCTAAGCCAAGATTTCTAGATCTATAAGCAGATGAATTATGAATTGATTTTTATACACAAGACTTCGCGATGTTGAAAGGGCATGACAAATACACACGCCTTTTTTTAATTAGCGCGTGACGTGATTTTCTTTTTCTTTTTCTTTTTTTGTTTGCTTGTTCGTTGGCTATTTCCTCAGCTCCGAGCCTTTTATCCCTATTTTCCGCGTCTCTCCCCTCTCAGGTTGACTGATTCAAGTTTTGCTCATCAAAATATATGTGTGTATATATATATATTTCATGTGATAATATACATTCATAAAAATCGAGCTATACTTAGTTGTTCATCATTTTCTATATTTGTATTGTTGCCATATACGTACGGAGTATGTCGAAGATTAGGAAGTGATGTGATCGTCACATATGCATCCTAATTGAATTTAAAGATATGTGCAAACAGATAAATCATTTTCATATAAAAACAAACGGCATGCTTTTATTTTGGCCAAAAAGTGGCATATTTCTTAATTAAGAAGGTTTTTTGGCAATTGCAGGTGTACCATTTTGACTATTTTTATGTGGCCTTGCAAACAAATATCAATAATGTCGAATTAATCAATAAGAAATTATCAACAAAAATAAAACTATAAATAGCCTAGCCTCCCACATAAACCTCCTCATAACACCCAAAGCAGTAAACATATTACTCTTTCGGTCCTTCATATACGACTTAATTGGGGAGTTGATATTAGTCCTATATAAAAGATTTATTTTACATGTTTATTAATTTCTTTTTTTCAAATTAACGCTATTGATATTTTCTCAACAATGATCAAGTAGGATATATCAAACACTCTTCTAATGACTTTTCTCAATCCCACGTAAAAAAACAATCACTAATATCAAATACTCTTTTAATGACTTTTCTCAATCCCAATCACACTTCACCTCTCATTGTCAATGCTTTGTACCAAACAGGACCTAAGGATTTTGTACAAACTCAACCAAGGCAAATACAACAGATGAAAAAATAGTTTCTCAGAAAAATGCTTTCAACAAGAAAATGGCGAAATTTTTAAGCAGACAAATTTCCAGATTACAGTATTGATATTTCGAAAAGCACATGATTAAGCTTGCAAGGATAATGGTCTGTTCGATCTGTTCTATATTTTTCATAGTCAATCCTTCATCTTTTTATATTTGAAGCTTTTGAACTTGAACGTTGATGGGGCTCCTCCATGAATCTACAAATCATGCACAAACCTTCTTTTCTTTTCATTCTTGGTCCAACGACTATAATTTTCTCTTTGATCATTCTTCTGAATTATTCGTTGTTTCCTAATTATGAAATAAAGACAATAATCTCAATTCATCAAGATTTATTTGGTTCAAAAATATCAAATATTATTTAAAATGACTTTAATATATTTGTTATCATAAAACTAATAGCAGCTTAACTTTGAAAGTCAATGGTTAATTCAGTTCTCAACACTATATATCCATTATTTTAAATTATTTCTCACATTAAAAAAAGCCAAAGAATTAAAATAAATTTTCAATAGTGGATGTTAGACATAATGACATATAAGTATAAAATAAATACATTAAAATTAAATATAGACGAAACAAAATCACCAAAATCAATTACTGTAAGGACCAAAGGTGAGTCTTGTTCCCAAAAGCCTATAGAATTCTAGGCTCACCCGCCTATCTTGGACCCGAGAAATGGTTGAAATGGGTTAAAACCCCAAACAGAAATCCAACTCAGCATATTGCTTCCCATTCTATTTGCGAAACCAAAACAGATGGAGATTCGGCCAGAAAAAAAAAAAAAACAAAAGAGATGGAGATGGCTACTCCCTCACAACTTGATGAATCAAGTTTGATTTCCTATTAAAAAAATTATTCACATTTAATATCTAACAGTATCTCGAATAAGATTACTTCTAATAGAAAAATACATATGCCTGGCAAAAAAGAAGAAGCAAAAACTGGGGAATTGTTTGAAAATCAATCAAGTATAACTTATTAATCCATCAATCAATCAATAGCCCTTCCCTTTTTTTAATAAGAGACAATTATCCGGACTACAGTGATAAAAAATGGCAAATTAAAAGTATATATTTGATATATAGGATTTTAATTTCGTCTTTTAATTTTAAAAAAGTTTTTTTAGTTTTTTAATTTTAAAATCATCGGGCTTAAATGATGATTTTTTTTGTGTGACAATTATGATTGTTTTGAAAAATTAAATTTAATATGTTAACAGGAGTTTGAGATTCTTTTGCAGGTCAGTCATCCCCATCCGGTAATTTATCTTGGGATTTTGGTTTTTTAGGGCTCTCTAAGAGTCCTGATGTGTCAAGAGCTCAAATATGAGTCCTAGCTAGGCTCAGAGTCTCCTCTAAATACCCTTTTATGTACGCTATCTTTAACGAGTTGAATGAGGAAAACTAATCAATTTTTTTTGTCATGAGCATTGTTTATTTTTAGTGTCCTGAATTAAATATCTTGTGATGATTTGTTTCATCTTTCCAGCGGTGGTTGGAGCCATGTCTTCACCGGCTTTCTAGATCTACAAGCAGGCGAACTATACGTTGATTATTATAATAATTGCGACCTTGAAAGTTATGACAAAAATACACACACCATTTTTTTTTTTGGGTTAAGCTAGATCCAGCATCAATATCCTAAAATATTTTATCAAGTGCATTCGACATCTTTAAAGTATTTTGTTGTGCATCCACTATCTTAAAATATTTTGTATCATAATTTTGCCTTTAAAGTATTAATTTTTTCAAAAGCAATTATGCTTTTAAAGTATTATTTCATAAACAATTTTAATTTTGTCATTAATTCTCAAAAGGTCAAACGAATGTATATAAAGTACCATAAAATATTTTTTTAATATTTTTTAGGGTGTCAAACGCACATAAAAAAATATTTGGAGGTGTTGGATGAACTACAAAATACTTTAGATACTGGATGTATATAAAAAAATCATTTTAGGATGCTAAATATATTATAAAATATTTTAAGATGATAGACAAAATGTTTTAAGATGATGGGAGTATCTAACCTCCCCCCCCCCCCCAAATTAAATTAGCGTGTGCCGTGTTTTGTTTCTTAGCTCCCAGCCTCCCACGCCTATTTTCCGCGTCCCTCCTCTTCCGTTGACCGTTGTCAAAGTTTACATTGGTTAGCGGTTTTATAAGTACACGCATCAAAATATATTAATACAAAATCCATAAAAAATACGCTGTCTTAATTATTTCTCAGATTTAATGCAAAGTGAGTTAATAAATTTAATTTATTTTTATGTTTTTATAATAGTATGTTGGTGCGTATATTATTGCAATAGTATATACATTGATGGATTTTTGGAAAGAGCGATGTGATCATCATCATACCTCCTAATTAAATTTAAACACACACATATATATAGGGTGGCAAAAAGCAAACAAGATATATGAAGTAGAATATATATTATTGAATCTGCCCAAAAAAAAAAATATTATTGAAAAGGAAAATTTGAGAATTCATTTTCAAGTTAAAACATTCGGAATGCTTCTATTTTGGCTAATTAAAACGCTGCATGATTCTTCTTGAGAAGTTTCTAAGAAGCTGTATTATTTAGACTATTTTATGCTATGTTTCACATACGGTCATATTACAAACATATAATAATGACGATGACTTAATCAGTAAGAAATTATCAACAAAAATAAATCTATAAATACCTCAGCTTCCCACACAAACCCACAACACCCAAAACAGTAAACATATTGCATTATTATCATTTGAAATCCCTTCCAAATATACAGCCAAGTCATCGACCACCATGTCCGAAGGCCATCACCACCAGCACCACCGTGACCACCACCATCACAAAGAAAATCCGGCCTGCGAGATTGACTACAAGAAGGAAGAGAAGCACCACAAGCATAAGGAAAATCTCGGAAAATTAGGAGCTGTTGCTGCTGGCGCCTTCGCATTGGTATATATATAATATCATTCAACATAAATTGATATGCAATTAATCATTAGTTATTATTGATAATCATGATTGATTTGAAGAAATTGACAATATAATGAAACTGTTGGTTGCAGCACGAGAAGCGCAAGGCGAAGAAAGATCCAGAACATGCACACAGTCATAAGATAAAGGAGGAGATTGCAGCCACTGTTGCAGTTGGAGCTGGTGGATATGCACTTCACGAGCATCATAAAAAGAAAGAAGCAAAGAAGAAACACCAAGAGGCTCATGGAAAGAAGCATCACCATTTCTTTCACTGATATATATATATATATATAGCTTATGAAGAATATATATATATATTGATCTGGGGAGCTCAATTTCTTGCTGGATTTGTTCTGTACTGTACTATATATATGCTCTTCTGATTCGTACAAGGTATTACACTATTCAGTGTTCCTACACAGAGTAGTAATACCTTGCAGTATTAGGAGAGGATATGGAAGCTGAATTAGGAGAGTAGTAATACCTACACAGAGTAGTAATACCTTACACTTCTGATTAGGAGAAAGCTGAATTCATATTTGGATAAATAATTATAGTCCCTATTTTTTTATTTTATTAATTTGTTGGTGTGTGTGTATATGCTTTATATACACAGCAGGAGTTTCATGATATATGTATGATTATTTATGTGTATGACTTTATATATATATGTATGTATGTATGTATGTATGTATGAAATACAAATTTGTATCTGATCTATTCGACAATTGTTTCTGGTGTTGCTTTGGATTTGCTTCACCTTACAGACAGTACACTACACACACCCACGTGTTGCGCAATGTTGTTAGTTTAAAATAAAATAAAAAAAGGAGATAAGGGAAGAAAGAATCAAACATACAAGAATTATCCTGATTTTGGGCAAATTAAACTTTCCAATTAAAATGACATCATCAATGTGTTCTTGTTTGGCAATTGATTCTGCAATTGAGATCAAACAGTAGATTAGAAGTTAGTTGGCTATTTATTATGATCAACACTGATAACCACCTCCAATCCTAAATATAAAAATTAAATAACTAATTTGTATAGATTAAATAAATTAGTTAAGTTGGATAAGACTTCTTTTCTTTAATATAAGAGCTAGTTGGATATTTGTCTATAATATTTATCCATTTTATCCTCAAATAATCCTTGTAATGATTAAGTTTTCATCAATTGGTGGTTCCAATGCACATGATTAATAAGGGTATTTAAAAAAATATAATATATATTTATTACAAATAACTAATTTAACTAATTTCTTTAATATTCACAAGTTAGTTATGTCGCTTTTATATTAAAGACTAAAATAGTGTTAAAAATGCTTGGTAGTTTTCTTTTAGTGATTTGCATGAATTGGAAACTACTTCTGTAGTCCAATTTATAAGATAGAGATAAAAGATTTTTCTCAATCCTATTTATAAATCACTTTATTATATTGTAGATAGTTATTTCTTTTAAAAGATTTATATATTAAATAGGGGAAAGTTAAAAAGTTATTATATTTTAATAAAGATTTAAGGCATTTTTAAGTGTTTTTTTTTTTGTGAAATATGCTGAACGTGTCTTATATATAGAACCAGAGGAATACTTCTTAATCAAAACCTCCTTAATAGATATGAGTCTGTTTGGATTAACGATTAGAAAAGTAACTTATTTTCAATTTAACTTTTGAAAAAGTTAGATTTGGTAAAAGTTAAATTGTGTTTGGATTGAATTTTATAAAAGTTAGTTTGTAAAAATTAGATTATGGGTAAAAAGTTGTTTGAATTGTGATTGAATAAAACTAAGTTTAGTTTGTATAATTACCAAAATAAATATGAGTTTTATTAGATAATAAAGAAATGAATTTACATAATACAATAAATTTAAATTAGTAAGTTTAGTTTGTAAAATTACCCAAATGAGTATGAGTTTCATTAAATAATGATAAATGATTAAAAAATAATTTTACATGATACAATGAATAAGTTTCAGCGTATGAGGCTAAGTGGCTTGGCTGAAATAATGGTAGAATAATGAGGGAGGAGTGAGAGAAAAATAAAAATCTAACAATTCCAACTGTCCTAAGCATGATTTTCACTTGAATAAGTTACCTCAGATCAGCTTAATGTTAAGTGCATTTGAATCCAGATTTTTGTCCCCAAACACGATGGCTTATAAGCTTTCCTGAACAGCCTCCAACTTTCCAAACAAGCTTACCATGAAAATAAGTTACTTCTGGACCCTCAATCACTGACCCAAACAAAGCGATATAATCAATAAGTAAATATAAATTTAAAAGACAAAACGAAGTAAACTTTCATAATTGGGACCAAAACTAACCCCCTCTTACTCTAAAAAAACAGGAAATTAGAAATGGAATTTCTGTGACAAATTGGCAATGAATTAGAAACATAAAATTTTGTTATTACTCCGTTGGTAATTCATTGCTAATTAGCAATCCAGTTCATAATTCTATTGATAATTTTATCAGTAATCAAAATTTCGTCACTAATCAAAATTTCGTCACTAAATCACATTGCCAATTTTAAAGTTAATTTGGGGTTGGAAGTTGGTTGCAGAAAACATGATCCCCAACATGAGATTTGGACCTGAAGCAGCTTTCAGGCCCCAAAAAAAAAAAAAGGGACCTGAACGAGCTTAAGTGGCTTGGGTCACTCAAACGTGATACCCAAGGAACAAAAAACCGGACCGGACACTAAACCGGTCAAGATACTAGTTCAAGGGTTAATGGGTTAGATCAGGATCAGACCGGGGTCAGACCGGTAATAATTAAAATAATATAATTTAATTAAAATTAGTAAAATATTTATATTCTAATTATAAAAATAATATTTATGTATATAAAAACTTTTTTTTAATTTTTTTCCTTTTTTCTTTTCCTTTTCTCTATCTTCTCTCTCCCACGTGCCATGCCACTTTTCTCCTTCTGCCACACATCACGAAGCAATGTCTATCTCATATGACATTGAACAAGCAGAGTAGACTAGGGTAGACTTGGGTGGTAGACTGTAGCAGCATATTTTGCCTCCTTCAGCACGCATCACCAGCTCTTCCACATCTTTCTCAAATTACTTCCTGCCGTCCTCAGCGATCAGTTCTATTTCTTCCTCAAATGGAATGGACAAATGGAGAAATAGCAAAGGGTCAGTACTGTTTTTCTTCTCTACATTTTGTTCATCCATCTGATACTCTCTCTTATCTCTCTCCTTCTCGTCTTCTACGGGTATACCTCAAAGCGACACAAACAAGGATTTCTTTTCCTCAGCCTCCATTATCTCCTCTGCTTCTACTACCTGTGTCTGCAGTGTCCATGGTTTTCGGCAAACAATAAGACGTCTATTCCTTCTCTGGCGAACGGTGAGAGCAGTTTTGGGAAGGAAAAAAAAAACCGGCCAACCCAGTCCACCCAGCGGTTTTTTCGGTTTTTACCGGTTTAGTCCGGTCTATTCCGGTTCATCCCGGGTTGATTGGGGGCTGGTTTTTAGACTAAACCAGACCGGACTTCAGACCGGTTCACCGGTTTTCCGGTTGAACCGGCCGGTCCGGTCCGGTTTTTTCTTCCTTGGTGATACCAAACATAGTCATAACCAGCTACATTAAGTGAACGTACAACTCTGTCATTGTTACCAAAAAAAGGAAAATGCACAACTTGCAAGTAAAGTGCCTTAAATGAAGAAATAAATGTTGATATAAATATGCTACATAGATATTTTAAAAGGTTCATATGTAATTTTAATCTTTGGTTAAAAAAAATACTATTTTAACAATTAAGTTTATATCAAGAAGCATTAGACACTAGGCACCATAAATTTTTTTAGGGTGCAAAAATATACATAAAGTTATCAAAAAAGAGTATTTTTTACAATTTTTTTTACGTTCATTACTTATTCGTTAGTGGGGAAATTAGTTTTAAAGTACATTTTTAACAATAAAGTTTATATCAAAGGGCACTTGGCACTATAAAGTTTACTTAAATATAAAAATATACGTGAACTTTCTAAAATGAGGAAAATAACAAAATTGATCAACTCCATAAATGTCCCGTTAAGTTTATTATTTTTAGTTCTACCAAATATCACATTTTCTCTCCACTCATTCTCACTTACTTCATCTCCTTAATATAATGGAATAATTTGAGAAAATTAAAGAACTCAGACAATTACTTAATTATAGGCTTATAGCATATATTATATGATCTCTCTAAACTATTTATATGCATCCCTAGATTATATATTAGTTTATATTGACTATGATGAGAGAAAAACTGATGGACTTGAAAAGGAAAATGGATAGAGAGAAAATGTGACATTTGGTGAGATTCAAAAGAATAAAATTAAATGACGTTTTATAGGAATTGATGAGTTTTATTTTTTTTCCCTTTTTAAAAAATTTATATATATTTTTACACCCAAGTAAATTTTATAGTGTTCAGTACCCTTTGATGTAAACTTCGTTGTTAAAAATGTACCATTAACGAAGAAGTCACAGACATTAATGATGTTATTAAAAATATCTATTCTAACAACTTTGTGTATATTTTTACACCCAACAAGATTTTATGATACCCAGTGTCTCTTAATATAAACTTAATTGTTAAAATTGTACCTTAATACTATTTTAAATTACTAGACTCACCCTCCACTCTGGTAGTTAGAAGTTGAAACTATCCTCACCAAGTTTAGAAGTTGGAACTATTCTCGCCAAGTTTAACTTATGATGTATTAAACTTGTAACTTTCTATATACATTAGTTGCAAATATAGAGTCCTTGTTTATTACAATATTGTAAACGGATTCTTTGAGGATACAAAACTTATGTTCAGCTTCTAATACATGACACTTGTTAGTATCAAAAGGTTGGCTATAAACATGATACATGAAAATTGTAAATCCCTAAAGACCATTTAAAATAGATTATTTCAATTGTAAATTTCAAAATGCTAATTAAAACATGTTAAAAAACATGTCATGTAAATGGATTCTTTCATTATCATCTAAATAGATTATTTATAAGAAAAAGCATATTCCCTTTTTTTTCACTACTCTTTCACTCCCTTTTGCAATTTGATGGTTAGATTTTTTTTATTATTATTATTCTTTTTGAATATCCTAGCTGGCTTCAGGTTCCTTGCAATATTATCTATAGAAAAACTAATTTTTCTAATGCCACCGGCATATTTCTATGTTAGAACTTGGGCTAATCCATCCTTGGTGGATTAGACCCAGACCCATTTAAGTTAGGATCTGAATGCAAATGAAAACAAACTTGGGTCATTAACTATAATATTCACAACGATTCTCTTCTTCTCATCTCTGTACTCTTTGTTTTATAATAAAAGTTTAGGGGTGTGCATGTGCAAGATTAGATAGGACAAGACTCCTGCTTGATGCCTAACCTGAAAGATGAGCAAGTTGCAAAATACAGCATGCTATTTGGCCCTATC